AGTGTAACACCTATTTGGTTGGATGTGCAGTGAAAAAAGTGTTCTTCAAAAGGCAGAATATGCTATGAATAAGACAGATACTCCTCTCAAGGACCTTGAAAGTTTTCTTCTATTTTTAAAGTTCAATAGCTTATGAAGGGTTATATTTGTTTTAGCTGTGGAGTTAGAGGCCAAATCTCAGTGACTTGCCCAGAGGAAGATGCTGTGGTCCTGAGTGTGGGGTGCTGAGCAGAATTCAGAGGGCTGTGTCCTCAGATCCTCCTCCTCACACCTTGGTTTGGATCTCAGGCTGACACTGAAAAACTTGTGTTCTCTTCGCTCACTCCTTACCAGGATCATGCAATGGAAAGCCAGTATCAAGCTATGGACTGTCTTTCTTCTAAATAGAATAGTGGAGACTGCCCAATAAAAGGCAAAACTGTGGCCAAAAACCTTAGAAAAAAGTGTTCAATTTTCTGTCAAACTCTTGGAGAGACAGTAACAAATAGGTTCTGAAAGGTGCAGCAGCAAGCACAACCTGCAACTTTGACCGAATGTTTCCAGATTCTATGGCCCAAGTAATCACTTCTACCTATGGCACCCACCAACAGACAGCAAGTGCTACTGGAGAGTCCTGTGGGATAAGAGATCCTTGTCCACATTGTGGGGGTAGTTTGTGCTCTAAGGACCACTGATGGTGCTCAGAGTCTGCTTCTATAAAGATTTGAGCAATCTCTAGGTTCCATCCTGCTCCAGGCAGATTTTCCTGGTAAGTCTGGCTGTGCACTAACTCATGCACAAGGCCTCAGCTCAGGGCACAGCCACATCACATTGTGGTCCACAGTTTGGCTTGAGGGTCTTGGGGGGACCACATAGGGAAGCTGGAGAGAACCTGGATATAAAAGTCCCAGATCTCCTGGACCTGTATGGCAGAAAGACAAAGACTAAGAAGACTTAACCTATAGAGCAAGGGGTTTTAGTCAGCAAGTCACTTCCTTGGTGACTTCTCTCCCTTTCTACAGATTGCCATCTAAAATGCAGACAGAAAAACTGATCACTTTTACACCATGTGCAAAATCATACTCCACACCAATTCTTCAAGGTCCTATGTGATGCAGCTACCCTTTATAGTTTTATTTCCTTGCTTTCCCCCTCTCTTCCCAACATGCCTACTGGTCTCCATTGCTACTTCTGTCACTGGGCTGAAACCTTGATATTCAGGTTTCAGGTGAAAGCCACCTCACTGTCTTTCTTTACCCTTACCTGAGAGTTTTCCTCCAATAGTCACATCACATTATTCTGTTCATGTTCTTCCAGAGAAGTTTGAAACTGGACAACAGATTATATTTGTGGTTTTTGTGGAGTCTGAGGTTGGACTACATGTTTGATACTTTAAGACCATAGATGACAGCTCTTATATAGCTGAAGTAAAGAAACCAAGTGGGCAAGTTCCACAGCCTGAGTGCATCCTGATATGTCTCCACTTATCTCCTGTAGGAGACACAAGCACAGGAAGGAGCAGATGGTGAAAGCAGGGGAGGAGAAATGAATGCCTCCCTTGCAATGGCTCCCTAGCAGGATGTAATTGTAGGATCAGGGACCCTTGTGAAAAGACTTGGAATTGCTGGGACTTTACTTTGGAGGAAGCATGCAACATTCCCTGTGGAGTAAAAGTGGTCCACAAAAGCTCTTTTTCCCTAAATTCACCATTGTCTGAGACATGGACATCTGCAAGTGTTGTTGTTTTTGTGAATTATAAGCTGTTTGTCCCTCAAACACATACCAGTCACCAGCAGCAGCCTTTGGAGGAAGGGGAACAGGTCCTGACATGAATACTGGATATGAGGATGTACTGTGGGGGAGCATTGGGAAAGCAGTTAGGGGAGGGGAATGAACCAAGTATCATTGTGATTTTAGATGGAGTTGCTGCCTCACGCTCACCCTTCCCCTCCTCCCCCCAGGAACTCAGAAGCATCTTTCACAGGCAAGGGAGCTAGGCTTCCATTGTCTTAGACCAAATGGTCATTGCTATAGGCCCTGGGATGGGAACATGGATGTGTGTCCCTGTCCTCACATGCTATGATGTGGCACCAGTGCCTAAACCTCTGTCTTTGCACAGAGGCTCAGGAGGATCTGGATGTATGCAGGCAATGGACAGAACTACAATCACCACTGCAGCCTCCCTGAAAAATGTGCTGGCCATGCCTTTTGGTGGTTGATGGGGTAGAAAGGATACTGTTATGCCCAGTCCTACTCTGCATCCCTGAGGTGTGTCTTGGACCTGGCGCAACAAATTTCTAATGAATGAACAGATGGTTGGGCCTCATACTGTAATGGCACGCAAGGATCAGGGGTGTTGGCTTTGATATACAGGTGTCGGGAATTAAAGGTTGTGCAGATACTCTGGGGCAGGTAGAGGTAGGGTGAGAAATTAAAGGAAGGTAGTGAACACACCTTGTCCTCCCATCTGTGTAAGTAACCCAGTGACATGATAACTGAATCACTGAATCCATCAAGATTAAGGCATAAAACTCCTATGATGAGGCATGGTGGATGGACATCAAGGTGGACCCCAACCTTGGTGGTGCCCTGGCCAGACCTGAGACATCCAGCAAAGGCCAGTAGTGTGTTGCTGTCTAAGAGAAACTGGTGACCAGGCAGCCATGTTTCCACATCAAATGACCTGGGTCCTTGAAAAGACACAACACTAAGATGACCTTTCTATGGAGAGAGCAGCCTGCTATGGCCAAGTCAGTGCTAGTCCATGTCAGCACCATCTGCCCAGGGAAAGATAAATTTTGTTGCCCTAAAACTGGCCACAGATGAATTGTGGCTGTTATAATGATCAGGTGAAGTATGTGCTTGGTCACTGTGTAAATAAATTGGTCCTCAAAAGCTGAATGCTGACAGCCACATTCACAGGTGACCATAACACATGGCCACTAGCTATTCTGAGGAGCTCAACCCTCATGATGCCTGGTAGTAGCCTGTGCTACTGACCAAGTGACAGTGTGTGGAAAAATGCTCTGGCCTTGGCATGTTGTGTGCTTCTGCCTGGGGTAGGAACTATGGTTTGGGCAGTTCATTGGCTCAATGCCATGAACATCTCATCTCCTGACCTGTCAGCTCCCTGAACACTCTCCTATTCACTGACAGGGCTGGTAGGAGCCAGTACTTGAGCAGCAGTCAGTATACAGCACCAGCCATGCCCTCGCCAAGGAGCACTACTCTCGCCAAGCTCCCTTGGAGGGACTGGATCTGCCCTGAGGCACTGGTCAGCTTCCCCAAAGGGACAAGAATGCAGGCATGATTTCCCCAAGTGAGACAGGTGTTTCTGACTAATTGGTCCCTCTATGCCTCTGGCCCTTCACCGGGAGAAGTTGTCTGGCTATTACAGATGATACAGACATTGTAGTGTCTTACTGTCCTCACTCATACTCTTGGACCTGGCGCAACAAATTTCTAATGAATGAACAGATGGTTGGGCCTCATACTGTAATGGCATGCAAGGATCACTTAACTTGCTCTTTTAAATTTTTATTTTAAAGCAATTCTGTTTCCTAAAGAAAGCTGATGACTTCTTTTTTGTGTGTGGGGTAGTGAAAAGCAAGTTTCTCCGGTGGACAGCAGAAATTCCAAGAAGAAATTTATCATTTCTTGTAAGCACTGCTGTAATGGGATGTTGATTATATATATATATATATATAATGTAGGTTTTATTATAAATAACAATATTTTGAAAATGGTGGATACTTTTACTTTATGAAAATGACTAAGAGCTATGAGATTCCTTTGGCTGTTTTTTTTTTAAGATGAAAATTCTATAATTATATAAGTAAGGTAAATGAACAACCTGGACAAAATGTAGCGTACAGCCTTTATGTGTTAGTCTGTCTCAAAATATAGCAGATGCCTCGTTGATATGTATTGTTCCATCTACACTTGCTATGCCTGTAAGGATACTCCTATGGGTAACATTCAGGTCTGTTATTCTGGCCACTCTGACAGGAACATGCCCTTCTAAAATCCTGTGAAGATTGTGAGATGAGATGAGCTCTAAGCCAAGGCTAGGAAATAATTTATCAAGGCCCCAGCTTTATAAAGGTGCATGAAATAATCCTTTTAATTAAATGAATATGATCTAGTCAAATATGTGCAAACGGAAAATTTGAAAAGAAACACTAGTACCCTTAAGGTTAACGAGTAATTTATCTAAACATTCAATCTGATCTTATCTGTTTACTTGGAAGTTGGCCCATGTGACCTGAGATTGCAGTTTAAGTTTATCTCGTGAATCTTGATAAGCAACTGCAGAGTTTGGCTATGAACCAAGTGTGTGGGGGCAGTGTGAGGATTGCACAGGAAGGGAGATAGCAGGACTGGCCTGGAGAGGGGCTTAGTTCAGCCCTGTGTTCTATAGATTGACCTTGCTCCTCTAGCTACAGTGACACTGCTAGCTGAGAGTGACAGCAATGTCTCAGAGTGAGTGACCAAGTTCTTGTGGGGACACTTTACCCACAGTGTTGCTTGGACGTGCCCCGGCAAGGTGGTAATATTTTATGTTTTGGTTTGTCCTCACTTCTTATCTGTTCTCAGCACTGTTTGAGCTCTGAGTGTGCTGTAAACAAAACTTTTGCAATATTCATAGAGGAGACAAAACTCAGGCTACCTAAAGATATCCTGGGAATCTCTCCCTACTGTATTAATGCTCCCCATGGGCTGGATCAGGATAAAGCTGAATTGAGAAGTAGGTCAATTCCCTCTGTTTGTGAGTGATCCTCGGCCTCAGTGCCCCTGGAATAAGTGGTGGGGAGGGCAGCTCACCACAGCTGGCAGCAGTGGTTCTCCCTGGAATGTTTAGAGGCCCAGAGCTCTGTTTTTACCCCCATAAACTACTTGAAATCCTGCCTCTAAGGGAATCACACATGCGTCTGGAGGGTGGGCTCTTCAGAACAAACTGAAACCACAGCGCTTTTGCTCTCAGGCCGTGTCAGAGCCAGCAAGGCAATGCAGCTTCCCCCATGGATCAACAGTGCCCACACAGTGCAGGGCTGAACCAGACGCTGGTCACTGAGTTCCTCATCCTGGGATTCTCCCAAAGTCCTAGCCTGCAGATGCTGCTCTTTTCTGCCTTTTTCTGCCTCTACACAGCTGCCCTTTCAGGAAACCTGCTCATTGTGGTGGCCATCAGCGCCAGCCCTGCTCTGCACACCCCCATGTACTTCTTTCTGGTTAACCTGGCCCTGGTGGACATCCTCTGCACCTCCACCATCCTGCCCAAGCTGCTGGGCATCATGGTAGCAAGGAGGACCATCTCCTACGGGGGCTGCATGGCACAGCTCTTCTTCTTCACGTGGTCGATGGGAGCCGAGCTGCTGCTTTTCTCTGCCATGGCCTATGACCGCTACGTGGCCATCTGCCGGCCACTGCACTATAGTGCACTGATGGGCCCCCCCATCTGTGCATTCCTGGCTGGGGTCGTGTGGGCCATCAGCCTCACCAACACTTCAGTACACACAGGCCTCATGCTGCGCCTGACCTTTTGCAGATCCAATGTGGTTGAACATTTCTTCTGTGAGATTCCTCCGCTTCTGAAACTCTCCTGCTCTCCGACTCACCTGAATGAGGCCATGGCCTTTGCCGCAGATGTGTTCTTGGCCGTGGGAAACTTCTCTGTGACAGTCCTCTCCTATGGCTTCATTGTTGCCAGTATCCTCCGCATCCGGTCTGCTGAGGGCAAGCGGAGAGCCTTCTCCACCTGCTCCTCCCACCTGCTGGTGGTCAGCATGTACTACTCCACTGTCATCTACACCTACATCCGTCCTGCATCCAGCTACACGCTGAACAAGGACAGGGTGGTGTCGGTCATCTACACATCTGTGGCACCCACCCTGAATCCCCTCATCTACACTCTGAGGAACAGGGATGTCAAAGTCATGCTCAGGAGACTTCTGTCCTGCAGCTGATCCTGGCCAGACATCAGGAACCTCCTTGTGGCCCAGCGCATAGGTCTGTGTGGAGGGAAAGAAGTGTGACTGAGGGCATAACTTTCCTAAATGGCTGAGTTCTGTTTGCTGAGGACTTATCCTGTGGAGCTGAGTGGAGACAGCTCTGACACTGCAACAGTTTGGACTTTGGGGAAGCCCTGACCTCTCAAACATGGTATGATTGAGGGATTGTCCCATGTGACTGTGAAAGACAAGAACTACATGAATTCAAGAAATCATCAGAGGTGGGCACAACCCTTTCACCAGCCCTGCCAGTTCTATCTTCCATGAGGCAGGGGTTTGGGTAAACACTACTCTGTGACTGTCATGTATGTTTACAGCTAAGGGTGATCTTTGCCTTAGGCATTGATGGTACAGGAAGATGAAGGTGGTTGGAGATTTCAGGAGGACAGTTCTTTCCTGTAAACAGAGTCTCCAAGAATTGTCTGTTATCAATTTTTAGCACCTTGGATGCAGATAGTTTGAGAAGAATTTTTCATCCTTTCTTATGCTCAGCACCCTGGGCATAATATCAACCAGCTACTTCCCTGTCAGCACTGGCTCCAGTTCAGGAAGTTTTGTTCCCCACGAAAGCCCTGGGAAGAAAGACCCTTTGTGACATATATCTTTACTATTTATACTGAGAGGTAACTGGCAGGGCTGGGTGTAAGAAATATGAACTTGTGTAGTTGGGACAATGCAGGCCGAGGGAGTTGACTTCTTGTAACAAACCTTTACAGAATCCAGAGACCTCTGTTACCACCCAGTCTCATCACTGGTGACCAGTAGCAATGCCTCCTTCTGGTCTCAGGGTCCTGGATCTTGTCCTGAGCTGACTTTAAGTAAGAACTGCAGTGATCTACTGGGTTCTGTCTCGTCTATGTTGATTTTTCTGTCTCTCCTCAGTGTTAACTTCTTTTTTTCATGCAGGCTATAGTCTCCTTCCTGGCACTGTTACTGTCACTGTCTTGTATTTTTATCCTTGCACCAGGCACACAGCAGGAACTCAGAAAACTGATCTGTTGACTGCACAATGAAATAAGGAAGCACTGATTATTCCCACCAGTTAGGCATACTTTTGGAAAGACAATCATAGGTATTTCTGTGACATGATTGTTAAAGGAACCATGATATCTTTGTTTTTCCCTGATTTGAAACACAGCTTATGTCTGCTGTCAAGGGCATTTGAGTAATAGTGAGTGGATGAGTTTTTAGTACAATCTTGAGGCCTCTGACCTTTGCATAGAAGGGTGGAAAAGGGTAGTTTTTCACATGAGTATCACTGGGGTTGGTTCTGGCCACATACCAGATCTTGGACTCCTAAGTGTGACTACTTTGACTACCTTGCTACTCTGATCCCTGGAGAAGAGGGGATGCTAGAAGTTTTATTAGAGATGAAATCTAAGGTCAAAATTCTTTACAAGAGCTCTCCCCACCCACCCTAGTGTAGAGGGAAGCAATCTGCACTGAGGTGAGCATCCATACCCACCATATGGGGCCCTTACCTGGGAATCCCTAAGGTGGCTTACACTTGTAACTTACAGGCACACCTGGTTTCTCTTGCCTCCTGTGTAACAATATCCTATGGAAGAACCAGGGGTTTTCTTTTTTGCTAATTTTTTTAATTTTAAAGAATAAAAAATAAAAAACATTAAAAATAATACACAATTTCAAAACAAGATGATAGGAAATCAACAATGGTTGTTATATTGCATATTGTTATCTTCAAAGTAGTTGTTCAGATTACCAAATAAAGGCATGTAAAATTGATAAAAAAATTAAGCATTATCTGTGCTTTTCAATAAACCAATAGAAATTAGTAGTACAATTATCTTAGCTATTGTGTGTGTGTATATGTATATATATATATTTCCCTTCTTTCTTTCTTTTCTTCTTTCCCTCATCCCAGTTCTTACCTTTTGAGCAGTTTCTTTCCCATTCACAATATCTACTGTACTTTTTTGATTTTATTCACTTT